AGAAAACTCTGAACTACTGTCCACCTGTGAAAAAGCCTTGACATCCTGAACAACTATACCGAAGACAGTACCTGTCTATCTGGTTGGGAACTCGAGATATTTTATATGAGAATTTCACGTGTATACTAGCGTCGCGTAGTGAGCAAATTCTGAACTATTGAGCACTAAGCAATAGTCTTTGATCTCCTGAAAAACTTTGTGAAAGACTGTAACTTTTCATCTGGTCAGGATCTCGAGATATATCACATGCGAGAATTTCACATATACATGTAGTTCAGAATTTTCTCACTACGTAGCGCTAGTATACACTAGCGCTACGTAGTGAGAAAATTCTGAACTACTGTCCGCCAGTGACAAGGCTATGATCTCCTGAACAACTTTGTCAGAGACAGTAACTTTCTATCTTGTCAGAATCTTGATATATTCCATGTTGTAATCAATTAAGTCAAATCCCACGTAGTATGGTCACAGTTTTCGCGGTTTCCATTTACATTTTCCCTATTATCCGCATTTTTTAGGTGTTTACAGTAATCAAAGTTTAGCTTGTTTAGATCAAAACAAGTTTTTTGAAGAATACTCGTTGGTTTCAGATCGATTGGTAACTCAGCAACAAAATGGCAATGGAAAACTCATGTGTGTTGTACAAAGTACAACAGCGCGAGTAACGGAGGGTTAAAGACCCTTTGGTACATTTTTTTTACGGATCTTCAAACATTTTGTTCGGTTGTCATTCCCCCCCCCCCTCCAAACGTGACGTAATTAGTGATCGGACTATCATGGGATTCAGTTTTTGTATGTTGTTGTGGCACATGATATGTTTGATAAGTTAATCCAAAACCCTTTAACGCCGGATTTTATAAACAAAGGCACACAAACACTTAAAATAAAATTTCCCGATCTTTTCTCCTGATAATCGAGCCCCGGATAATCGAGCCTCCGGTTAATCGAGCCGCCGGATAATCGAGTCCGGCCTGTAAATAAATAGCTGATAATGAAATATTCAAAATCTTAAAAAAAATAAAAAAAAAGATTGAAAGCTAGTTAAAAAGTTTACGGAATTACCTAACTCTGAGATTTTTTTCAAGTTTGAGATGCTTAAATTTATGACATTCAGACGCTATGTGAATTAATTACATAAAGCATGAAGAAACGATCATTGCTTGTTCAAAATCAGTAAGCAGGCGCCATAAATCCCACAATCGAAGTCCCAATCGTTGTTATGAAATAAATATAATCAAATTTATAGTTTTACCTATTTTAATAGCAAGGCTCAATGTCATATTATTGGTCACAGAAAAACACGGTGCCCTGACGCATGATATCCTATATCATCATAATATCCTATAGCTAAAATATTAGGATATTATGATGATATTTTGTAAGTGTAAGTAATAAGAAAAGATTGTAAAGTTTGTGTTTCACACATCAAACCTGCAAATTTAGCTTTGACAGAGTCACAATGAGCGTTTTTCTGATCGCCTCTTCGCGAAGAGTGAAGAGCGAAGAGTGGGTGAGATAAATTACAAAATCGCTTATTGCGACTCTCATGTAGCAAAATTGGCAGGTATTATGTGTCAAACATAAACTTAACAATCTTTTCTTGTGGTTTACATAATCAAAATATTTTCATAATATCTTATTATTCCATAAATTCTTAAAACATTTTTTTAGTCAAAATGAATGGAAGGCACCCTGATGCAAAGTGTGGAAAGAGAATGAAAGAAATACGAAAGGGATTAATTTAAAGAAATGATAGTTTCTTCAGGTTACCCAACTAACCATACTCAAGCAAAGTATATACAAAGCCCAAGTAACCATACCACATACCATAATTTCATAAAACATTTTTTTTTAGTCAAAATGAATGGAAGGCACCCTGCTTTGCATACAACAGCATCTCATACTAATCTCAACATTGATTCAATGATGTACGGAGCGCTCATTCCGACTGCTCGGTGGACCAGCGTCATAAGATGCGAGCCTCATCCCTGATGACCATGGCCTTACAGTGACAGATGGTGGACATGATATCGAGAACACTAACCAGCGATGTCATGTCAGAACCAACCAAGGACGATCTACGGAAGGAAATTACCGATGAAGCACAGAATGGAATACGAAGCGTTAGAGAAAAAGTACAAGCGATTCTAAATGAAGCAATCAACGGAGGCAGACTGAACGAACCTTTATCAACTATTTTAACGCCACATTAAAGGTGAGAAAATTTGCTTTCCATCAGTTGAACACAATTTGTCAGTGAAATTAGTGGTATGGTTGTTGTAGCTTGAAACCAGCTAAAAATCAAAGAAAACGAAATATGAATGGGAAAAATCGGTTGGAATTTGTGGAAGATAACAATTCAGTGAAAATGCAAATATTCTAGTTATGTCTTTGTGAATTTTTAATTGGATGTATAACCTTATCTTTTAAAGTTTTTTATTATTCTACTGAGATTTCTTCTGACTAAATTTCCGGATTCAGCACACGATTTTACATGGTGAATAACCATTAGCGTGCAAAGTTCAAATATGCTGTAGAATAATGTAATCGCTGCTCATTTCGGACTTTCAATGAAAAAGCTCATTGGTGTGGATTTAAATGTTGAGATTTATCTACTCTAAGTGTGTCTACAGTGAACTCTGATCCTACTCTATCAATTGCTTTAAGTAAAAATAAGTTTCATCAAGTTAGTGAAAAGTTGTCTAGTGATGAATAAACATTCATTTAAACATCTAAGTTTAATATTTTCTGCCTCCACGATGGTTCTTAGTGAAACAATTTCAAGTTTTTGCAGTAATTCTTCGTCAAACTATCGGTAAAGCACATATCCTGCCGTCCCATGTAGTTTTCCAAATAACCTCCCATTTATTACCCTAAACATCACCAAACGCTCCACTAGTGATCATCATATTTCATCCCGAGTGCATCCTCCTACCTGTCTGGTGCGACGACGACGACGACGACGACGACACGTTAGAGAGCATAATTCCCCGTGGCATAGACAATCCCCCAACCTTCACGGTTCATCACGCAGCAGCGTTGACACACCTCCAATACCCTCCTCCTCCTCCTCCTCTACCACCTCAGTGTTTCAGCAAGCCTTCCTTCAACCGCAAACGACCACGAGATCGAGAGATCTCACCACCAATTATTAACAGGGCGTAATTGGCGGCAAAGATGACAGAGAGCGGGAGTCAAAAAGAAAGCCGCCACCGCCGCCACCGTCACCGCCCTCAAAGGACCCGGGCCCAGCCGACCCGATTACGAGATTACGACAGATAAAAATATACGGAATGGGCGAGTGGTGCAAAACGGAAGAATTATGTTTATGCGCGGAACATAAGAAGAGAGGAAAGCAGAGAGAGAGAGGGAGAGTGAACGTGCTCCTTTTGTCGGATTTTCCACCAATACATACGAGTGAATGCGGGCGAGAGAGGCGGTTTCCTCTCAGCGAGAGAGAACGTCTCTCACGTGGTTGGTGGTTGTTGGATTTGAGCTGGTGCACCAACACCATTGTACGGGTTGCGGGAAAACTTCGAACGGGCGCTGAGCAGAGCACAGTGCAACATCCAGTGAAACACTTCCCAGTGATCAGTCGTCGGAGTGAGATGTTCTGTGCGCTCTGCTGAAGATCGAGGATCTTTATCCGTTGTTCAGTTTAGTTCAGTTCAGTTTTTCAAGACAGATTTTAAAAGAGTGAGACGGGGTCCGCTGCTGTTGTTGTTGTGGTTTGTTGGCCTGTCGTGTGTGAGGAAAGTGTTATCGGGGCCAGAGAGAGGACCGCGGACTTGAGTCGGAGGAATTTCAAGCATTTCGTCCGTGACCGTGGTGGTGGACCGCGTGTGAAGCGCAGTTGATACGCAAATTAACTGGCTGGCGGCGGTTTTTTTTTTTGTTGCGATCCGCTGAACACTGGCAAATGGCAAGCGGCAGGTGAAGAGCGAAGTTTGGAGAGTTTTTCGCGCGCCGCCCCAAGGAAGAAGTACTACAGTGAATGTCGGTGCGGAGAAAGAAGGAAACTTTGGCTCGGCGGTGTTTTGCGGGTTTGATTAATTAAGTGTGTCTTACGCGCGCACGCCTCGTGCTTTGGCGGTGTGCTTTTTTGAAATTTTTCGGGGAGTTTTTGTGTTTCGTTCGCCAATCAAACCGACGAAACCTGGCTGACCGGTCGGCTGGGGTTGAACCGCGCCGTGGCTTCCCGCAACAAAAAAATCAAGAAGGTGAAAGAAAGTAAAGTGTACTGAAGAGAAGAGAAGTCGTCAGGTGGCAAGGGTAAAAAAAAAAAACAAGAAAAAAAGTCTATCCGGAGTTGATCCGGGGACAGGCAGCAAAAAAGTGCAAGATGATTCCGTGCATTCTTCGCGGCTCGCGGGAAGGTAATTGAAGTTTACTGCGAACAACGACTGTCCGCGCCGTGTCCAAAAGTCGAAATTCCTCCCGCTGAAAACAGCCGATAAAGGTCGAAGAAAGTGGTTCCGATCCGGCCTGGGTGATGGTGGTGGTAATATGTGTGTAATCAGTGAAAAATCCGAATTGGAATGCGATGGATATGAAAGTGGAAAAACGACGCAAATTTTACGTGGAAAAGGTTTCGGGTCACTTCTTCTGGGGTGAATGCTGTTGTTGTTGTTGTTGTTGTTGTTCTGGTTGTCGTCGTCCGTCGTCGTAGGCACGGAGCGGGGCGCGAGTTCGCTGTCCAACGGTAAATAACAAGTCGGGCGACATCAAAGAGCACGGCGCACACATGCACACATGCACACATACACATACACACAACTCGATCAAAGTGCTAGAGTTTTTCCGAATGGAAAATTAAAGCTTGTTTGGGTATGCAACAGTAATAGTTAAAAGTAGCATAGTAGCGACTTCAAACGGTTTCGGAAGAAGGTAGTTCAAAACGATTGTGAGCAGCAGCAGCAGAAGCAGGAAGGAAGAAAAGAAGGAAGAAAGGAAAGAGGTGCAGTGTTTTGATTCGTTTGCACTGTTTGGAGCGTGAACGTGGTAGAATGGTACTGCGGTGCAGCAGCATGAGGAACCGGGGCGCGAGAGGAGCTTTATTCTCGGTGAGTAGTGGGTTTAGTGTTTTTGTTTTGTTTGTTGGGGAAAATCTTCAAAGGTTTGTGGGTGTGTTTCGGCGCATTTAGCTCGTTTATTGACTCGCAGTTGGTAGTGATTCTCTTTCTAGGGATTGTGAGGCATTTTCTTACGAATTTTGGGACAAATTCCAAACAAATTTCGAGTAGAGCTAAAACACAATTCGTGGAATAATTCGAAGAGATTGTGAAAAAAAAAACAATCCACGAGAATTAAGAACAGCACTGCTAAAGAGAATTTCATGATAGTTCAGAAGTGATCTCTATGAGAATTGTGAGGATGAAACCAGGTTAATTCTAACGATAAAATCTCAGACATTCTGAGGAGATTTTTTTTTGCTATGTGCAACGCAATCCTCAACATGCTTTCCTCTGTCTGAATATTTTTTCTTGGCAGTAATAGCAGTAGCAAATTGGTTAAAGTAAGAATAAGCTCACAATCGTTTTAAAAATATCACTCCCATAAGGTTCAATTAAATTTGATGCTTTTTCGAAAAATTCAAAAGCAGTTTTTTTCGACGCATCATTTTAGATTGTAAAATGCTCGCATCATTCTATTCCTTCTGTCATTTTACACAAAATGACGCGAGCTTTTTGCAATCTCTAATGAAGCGTCGGAAAAAACTGTTTCTGAACTTTTCAAAAAGGATTCAAAGTAAATTGAAGCATACGCAGCTGACAACAAACCGGTTGTTAAACAAAATCTCAATAAAGGGAAACGTCGTAGAAAATCCTAAAGATTATGGCAAAGCATTCCAAGAAGAATGCCAAGAATCTAATAACAGAATATAGTGAGGATTTATGATAACCAATTAAAGGAAAACTCTGTTAGCATTCCTAGAAAATTCGGCGCAGAATTAAAGAATTGAAGACAATTTTCTGAAATTTGTTTGAGATCATGTTCAAGGGAATTCTGAGGAAAATTTCGAAGGAATTTGGAATAATACTTAAGAAAAGCTGTGGAGAATGCCACGGAAATTTTTCGGAACATTTTAAAGACAGTTCTAAAATCAATTGCAATTTTAATTCGTCAAAATTGCATTTTTCATGAGCTGTTGAAATTAAAATCGAAATTTTTCTTACTGATGATTTTTCAAGCCTTAGAAAAAAACCTTAGACCAGAAATCATCAAAATATTCACAAATATGGATCGCTACAAATTATAAACCCGTAAGAATCTTGCGTATTTAATTGTGATGATAGTTCCAAATTAATTCTAGGGCAAGTGGAAATTCTAAAAATAATTTCATGTGAACTCTGAAAAGGGTTCCAATGAAATTCTGAGCAGATTACCATGGGAATCGAATTTTGAAGGTTTAATGTCAATGAAATGCTGAGAAGATTTTTAAGCGAATTCCAATCATAATTCCATGGGCATTTCGAATAGAATATAGATAATTCTGAGCAGAATTTCAAGATTTTTAAGAGGTATAGGTAGGTCTGAACTGTTATAGTCAAAAGTTTCAAGTGAATCCCTGAGAGATTCTAATATTTATTTTGGATGAATTTTGAAAAGAATTCTGTGAACGGTAATGGTTAAAAAAATTAAGAGAACATTCCAAATAAGTTCTGTAAAGAGTTCTATACGAATTTTGAAGGTAGTGAATACATAGGCAAACTTTCCTGTTTTCGTAATTAATCATTTAACCTACCCAAGCCGCGTAGCGTGGGTAGATCACCTTTTCGTGGTACATTACGGGATGTAAGAGCTAACACATCGAACTCTGACCCGAAGCTCTTCTTGTTGAAGGATATGAACCTCGGTTTTCAGATTGGATACAAGAAAATGTTCGGCCCTAATTTAAAAATGAGACATCTCTGATTTTGGTGTGATTGTTTTGATAAAAAAGAGCGCGAAATTTCATCTCTACCGAAGGGGCAGCAAAACCACAAAATATTCATTGGATGAAAGGAACCGTGAAAGAGGACACTAAAATCGGAAGTTTTTCTTCCGACTGTTTCATCTTTGTATTCTTCTTTGATTTAACTGTATCGAAAATGAATACCTTCTCCAAGTAATAATTTTTGCTTTATGAGGGTTATGTAGACCATGATTAAGACTTGTAGAATGATTTACAACCTAGATAAAACATGCAATGTTATTTGAGCTAGTGATTCTTCGGCTCAATCGCATTTGGTTGTATGCCTTATTTAAATGTATATCGATCTTACTACTAAATGTATCAGGATAAAACTGCAAAGTGGACCTAGTGAACCCCTTCAGTCTTATCACATTCGGCATAATGGCATGTAGCCTATTGACATATGGCCTAATATTTGATCATCAAACAAATGTTGGCCCTCCCGTATTTCGATCCTGGCTACGCCCTTGCTCTTAAATGGAGTGAGAATTGTTCTACCGACGATGTGACGAGACAGCTCATAGAATCTCCATTAAAATTCAAATCTTTGTTTATAGATTTTTTGTGACTTTCGTAAAAATTCTAACGTCTCTGAAATATTCAATTTTTCCTGAAACTCACAGATATTTCTTCAAGTTCACAGTGCTTTCCTAATGTTATGAGATTTTCCCTGTAGTTTGCAGAACATCCTTATAGTTTGCAGAACTTTCCAGACGTTCGAAGAACTGCAGAGCTACATTGAAGTTCATATAATTTTGAAGTTCGTAGAACTTACTGAAACGTTCCTGAAGCTCGCAAAACGTCCCTGAAGTTCACTAAATTTTCCAAAAGCTCGTGGTACTTCTCTGAAGATCGCAGTATTTTTTTCTGAAGTTTGCAGTACTTTCACAAAAGTTTGAAGAACTTTTCTGAAGTTTGAAGTACGTCTTGAAAGTTTGTAGAATTTTCCTGAAGTTCGCAGAACACCCCTAAAGTAAAGGTTTTTTTCTCCTAAAATGTGCTGATATTTCTTGAAGTTCACAGTACTTTCTTATTGTTATGAGATTCACCCTAGTTTTCGCAAAACGTTCTTAAAGTTTGCACACCTTTTCAGACATATGTAGAATTTTTCAGATTTTTGTAGAACTTTCTTGGAGTTTGCAGTTCATATAATTTTGGTAGAGTTCACAGAGCTCTCTTGGTGTTCGTAGAACTTACGAAAACGTTCCTGAAGCTCGCAAAACGTCTCTAAAGTTCGCAGAATTTCCCTGAACTTCGTGGATCTTCTCTGATGATCGCAGTAAGGTTCGAAGTGCGCCTTGAAAATCCACATTTTTTTAAAGCTTTATTAGCGAGATTTTGAAAATTTGCAGAAATCTCCTGAAATTTGTAGAATTTCCCTGAAGGTTTGTTGTAAGTTTCTGGGGTTCGCAGAACTTTATTTTTTTATTGATTTGTTTTCCGTCGATCTTGTTTTCCGTACTGAGTACCAATGCTCCGACGCGAGGGAGGCAGCTCCCACACCAGGACCCTACCTATCGACCCATCAACTCATAGACCAACGGCATTTCTTCCATTCCCGAAGGACAGCGTGATAAGAGATTTTATACCTCAGAAAATTTCGGTGGTGCCAAATAGGATTGAACCTTTTGGAGTGAGAGGCAATCATCCTTACCACCACACCACCGACAAACCAACATGAATGACCATATGCCTTATTCGGGGTGTCACTACACGGTGATAAGGAAGTGATACTCAGAATAAGAGACGTGATTGCCGTGCAAATCAAATGAGAATCACGACAAGTGACAAGTTTTCACCCTGAAGTGACATCCGTAATAAGCTCCCATAGCTAAAACAATAAAATTTCTGACCAAAGCACACTACTGATATCTGGCTCCGTGTTCGCGGGAAATATTTAGCTAAGCCATGAGCCAGCATGCAAAAGTTATTAATTGGTTCGTGTATAATCTATTCTGTACAAATTATGTTTATCTAGATAAAAAAAAGCCTATGGTTTTGACAATTCGGATCACTGCACATTTAAATCGGCCGTTAATGATTTTCGGGCATAACTCAGAATTAAGTGTCATGTCGGTTTGTCAGTGACTACATCACCGGCGCAGCTCGCAGAACTTTATTGAAGCTCCTAAAATTTTCCTTAACTTTGGAGATCTTCAATATCATTATAACATCCAGTGAATTCATAATTCAGAAAAAAAAAACATTTTTTACAGCAAAGTGATTCGAAGCAACCATGCCCAGAATGAGAAAAAAAATACTTTAATAATATTTAAGTCCCAAAATCTTGGTCTCAAAAATTTTGAAACCTCGCTCTTGGTCTGCAAAACCTGAACTATTTCGTTCGAACCTAGATGTTTTAGGAGATTTCTCAAGAATTCTCATTTTATCATCCAGTAATTATTTCAGTCTCAGAGTATTTGTCGGAATATCCTTAGAACAATCTTAAAATTGTCTTTGGAATTGCGTTAAACTTTTCCGTACATCGCTTCAGGCAGCGTCTCCTGGAAACTTTTTGAATTCACACTACAATTCTCTTCTGATTCATAATCATCATCGCAAGAACTCGCTTAAATTTTTCACTGTAATTACCTTCAATCTTCCACAGCCATATTCTTCACAATTTCCATAGAATATTCAGAGGGACAATTTGTGCAATTTTCGGGACATTTTGAAAATTTAAAGTTAGCCTTAAGCGAGGGAGCGACTCAATCTAAAATGCACGGAAGAGTTTGTTTTGCTGCCGAAAATTTAGTAGATTTCCTGCTAAAAGATAGAGTGCTATGCTAGTGCATAGATTTAGAAGCGTATAGTGAAATATAGATTTTTTGTAGCTCTATATTTCACGAGGGGGCGACTCTATCTAAGATGCTGGAAAAAATTGCTTGGTTGTTGTGAGATGCCCGCACGCTTAGTAGATAGAAAGAAGATTGATAAAGGTTTTAAAGATTTCCTGCAAAAAGGTGGAAGCGATGTGAGTAGATTGATTTAGAACCAACAGATGAAATTTTGATTGATTTACTAGTGTGAGATTTTCCTACCATCAAAAATGAGATTTAGATGTGTTGCACCCCCAGAGCTAGATTCGTTTACGTGAGATTTTCGAAC